AAATATGCCGAAAATAGAGCGATAAGATGCGAGGAGGAAAAATCGGGTCGCTAATGGGTTACATGGCTCGCTGAAACTCGCGTGTCACCTCCCTCGCGAATAGTTTAATATCGTAGAAGCATATTGACCTAGATCCTGACACGTGAATCGCCAACGTGATCGACCCTCTTTACAGCGCAAACAGTCGTGAGGGGTTCGTAGCGCTCTCTCTCTCTCTCTCTCTCTCTCTCTCTCTCTCTCTCTCTCTCTCTCTGTCGGACGATCAATGAGACGCGCGCGCTCTCGAGTTCTCGATCGATCGCGACGAAATCGAAAAATATTATATGAGATTGTTATACTGGGTGTGCACACCGCACACGTGCCATGCTGTTCTCTCAACGAGAGAGAGAAACTCTCTCTCTCTCTCTCTTTGTTTCTTTCTCTCGACCGAGTCGATTTCCCCGCCGGTGAATTCTCTATTATTCGAAATAAATTGGACGGGAATTTTCATCTATATCGCGCACATTCGATATATCCTTAATCGCACCGGAAGGTTACAGACGTGTGCAGGCCAAATATAGCGGCCGCGGTTGCGTTACACCCGTGTCACTATTTTTGACAGGAACACGCTCCTCGCTGTCAACTCGGAAGCGCGCCTTAGTTAGTCTAATTTAACGTTATCATTATAGGAACCCGCGATTACCCGGAACGCGGTAGTATCTCTCTCGTTTGGAAATTCTGCTCCCGTTTCCGCCCGCCTCCTCATTATCGAGGTATTATCGGAAAAAGCGGGTGCAAGAGCGGCCGTAATATATTTTCTTCTCAATATTCCAGTTATGTTTTTTTAATCCTCGACAATAAATAAACGTTCCGATTGTTTCTTCAATTCAAGTAATTCAGATTCTTTCGATAATTCTTCACAGTACTGTGCGAGCGTGACTTTCTGAATTATTTCCCGCGAAAATAATTTCGACCTTCCGTCGATGGTGGTTAAAATAATCGCGTTAATCAACGAATCTCCCGGTATTTTCCCCGCTTCAATATTCTACTTTCCTCCTTACGCCACGAATAGTAAGCTCGTTACGGATTTGACACGCCACCGTGGCGTACGTTCTCAAGGACATAATGTAATTTCGCATCCTGATGGATTATCTGCCAGATATCGCGGCTCGCGCTCTCGAGCCGCGAGTAGGTGACAGTAGGCGTAAGTAGGCGAGAGTAATGATTCACTCTCTTCTACTTTAGCTGATGATATTTCGTAAACAGCGCTCTGAATTCGTTATTTATCGCGCTCTTGCTTACATTCTCTCTCCGGTTATATATGCAACTCGACCGAATTTAAAATTCAATTCTTCGAGTCCGGGCGACATCAATCTTCGCGCAAGATATCATTAAAAGCCACGTAATAAGGAGTCGCTACCTTTCTCGAAACGTTCCTCGGAGAGAAAAGATTTTTTCAGTGGAATGTCCTCAAACTTTAAGCATTCATTTACTACCATTTTTAGCTAGACCCATTAATTCAAATTATATTATGTATATACATATATCTTTTTCTTTCTTTCTATTCTTATATATCGCTTGCATTTGCTAGTTTATACTTTATTACTAATTTACAACTTGTCTTTAAATGTTATTTGGATATTCCTTTTTATTTTCCTATAGGTATTAGGTTTATTTCTGTAATCTAAAGGGATGCTTTCCTTAAATATTATTGTTATTATTATAAACAGCGCTGCCATACAGTGACTGAAACAAAAAGGCGAAATAGAGCTTCTCGGCAAAAAAGATGATAGAAAGGTGACCTTTCAGATATCAAAATGCCAAAAATGACCAAAAGTGACACTTCAAATTCTGAGAGTAACTAAGGCCATTCAAGCAAAGAAATAATACTTATTTTTACCTTCCCCAGGTTTATCTTTGGATAATTTAACGATATAGCGAATTCTTTTCATAATACGATTTGAAAGCGCACAATCAGGAAAAACCAACGGCATAAATGATACAAATACGCTTTCGGAGTAGTTTTATTAAGAGAGACGGCCAAAATATATATAGAACGCCCATATTTTGCAAATTTAACGACTCAGGAAAAAAAGTGGACCATAGCGACTCGTTTTTCGGACGATAATGAATTTTTTCGCGGCCTGTCGGGAGAAAGTGACAAAAGGTGGACTTGAGTGACTGGATGGCAGCGTCGGGGGAATAATCAAAACGACCCCGAATTATCTTCTTATTGGAGAAATCATCGAGAGAATCGCGATATTCGCAGGTCAAACGTTGGGACGTTACATATATGAAGGACTGCCGGATAATTGCAAAATTTATTCGAGAAACGAACGGTTCGGTTTGGCGCGCACACGTACGCACGCACGCACTGTTCTGTGGCGTATCGATTAAAAATTATGCAAGCGTTATGCAAGTTCAAGGCGGTAACGGTTTATCTCGCGTTCTCCGGCGCATGTGGATTACACGGCGATATACGATCCCATCCTGTGCCGTTACATAAATCGCCTCGTCGAGCGAGCGAGCGAGTCTCGGCGAAAGAAACGTGTTTTGAGACGAGCGCGCGATCCGTAATGGCATACCATCGCGATTAAGAATCGAAAAGTATTCTCTTCCAATCGAATTACCGTCTCTCTCTCTCTCTCTCTCTCACTTTTTCTCTCGTGATCGCATTAGCGGGCGTTGCAGCAGCGCTCTCGGCACATACGTGCCGCGCGTAGCGTGCGCGTCCGGCGTGCGTTAGCACGTACGTAAATCAAGCGCTCGCCAAAAATGCGGTGCATATAATAAGATTTCGCTCGTACAGCGCGCGCAGTCATGGTCATTGAATTGCGTCGACGCGCGAACGGAGAGCGAGAGATGCAGTATAGAGCGCTACTGCTGAAAATAATGATCGCACGGAAATATAACGACGATATTTTCGACACGCGCGACATCAGCCCTTTTCCGCGCGTCCGAGCGCTTTCACGTCGCATTTTGCCGCTTTAATCCGAGAGTTCGGAGGGTTGGCAAATCGAATACACGGCCGGCCAGAGGAACGAGAGAAAGAAAGAGAGAGAGAGAGAGAGCTTCCATGTCACGGGTTTAAAGCTCGCTTTGGACAGGCTTTATAATTCGAAGCGGCAGAGAGAGAAAGAGAATACGAGAGAATAGGGGTATGCCGTCACCAACGTCACGATCAAAAGACAGCTGTCAAATCCGCGCTAAAATCGTCAAAACACGGTAAGTGGGTTAACGGGGAACGGAATTCGCGCTGAGAATTACCGTGACGATCAGCCAGAGGGATAGAGGGGGAAGGAGAGAACGAGACAGAGAGAAAGAGAGGGGGAGGGAGAGAGAGACGCAACAATACACTCGGTGTCGTGTAAATATCCTTTTAACACACCATGCACTAACACAGCATGTCCTCTCCGCATACCGAGTGCGTTCTAAAAGAAGAGAGAGAAAAAGCAGCCAGACCGCTCGAAACTCATCAAATATTTCGACCCTCTTTCTCTCCCTACCTCCTTCCCTCTCTCTCTCTCTCGCGTTTTTACGTTGCATTTCGCCGTTTGGACTCAGAAAGGCGTACGAACCGGGGTGAATAAAAGACACCGTGGGGGTCACACGATTGACTCCACCCCCATGCACCGATCGTTCGGTTTTCGGGATAGACGGCGAGTCAAACTTACTCCGAGGTTGCTTCCTCCGTCGCGTTGTATCCGCGACGCAAACCTCTGAAATCGACGATTAACGGGGGTGGACGGATCTCGAGTGTGTCCTACCGAAAAAGAGCTCTCCTTTTCTCTCTCTTTCTTTCGCCCGCATTCTCGCCCCGCGCCACCCTTGTCCCGAGAACACCCGGGCACTCGCACGCAGACGCACCAGGGAATGGGTGAGGGATGGCGGCAGCGAGGGAGGAGGAGGCGAGAAGGACGCGAGCGAAGGAGAGAGGAAGATAGAGGCGCTGTTCCGTTCAGCTGCACTGCGCGCTACACTTTCCGCACTCGAGGCAAAATAACGAACGCGAAACGAGATGCGACTCTTTCGAGGAATGCCGCGGACGTGTAATGTTACGAAAGGTAAAACAGACGGTTATACAAACACGGGAAGAAAGTCTTAAATCAATAATAGATGTTTCCATGCATAAGCAAGAATATTATAGTCTTTTTAGAAGATTTTCAGTCTCGATTTGATTGAGCTTGCATTGATGTAAATATTATTTGAGCTATCAATTCAAGATTAAAAGTCTCCTAAGAAGATTATAACATTCTCGTTAACATATAAGAATATCTATCTTTGATTAAAGATTACTTTTTCTGTGTATATATTCTTCACGTATATCATTTATATGTGTGTTAAAAGATAGTCGCGGTACGGGGGAGAAACGAGGAACGAGATAGCAGCGGGGTATGGAGAAAAAGATAGCCAAAAGAACGAGCGGTAACACCCGTGTAGGCATCGGAAATCCCGATGCCGCGAGGCACGCGATAATGGCCCTTACGTGGCCCGCGGATTCGCGAAACGCCGCGTTCGGCGTAGGGTTCCTTTTCGCGTGTGACGTCAAAGATCGAAGCCGCAGCGTAATAAAAGAATCGTTATCGCCAGCACCATCACCTCGACGATAAACCCGACGAATGATTCACGTTCCTTCCCTTCGCGCTGCCTTCGATCTCCGATGCGACGGAAGTCGATCCCCTCGCGGGAAGCCATGCAGAGAACCAGCGACAGTGACGGATCACGCGACACGCCAGTCGGCACCTCCCGCACCGTCCTCGACATCGAGAGCGGACTTCTTTTTGACACGAACATCCGCCGCGACTGCCACGGGTCAATAGATTCAGCGGAGGAGCCAGCGGGACCGCCGATAATATCAAGTCTGATTATTACGCGCTCGATCTCCAAGACGGTGGGGATGTCGGCGACGGGTCAATACAGAAGAGAGGTTATGGCGCACACACACACACACACACACGTCACATACGCTAGCACAGTGCGGTGTGGAAATGTTCTCTATCTCTTTTTCTCAGGGTACTTACTGCTCATTTTCACGCCTGCCAAGGGTGGGTTCGTAGGCGGCTTGTTGCCCTCGGCGAAGGAGGTGGTCCTCGGTCGTCCGCTCATCCTGAGGCTGTCTCGACCGCCACCGCCTTCTCCTCCTCGTCTATCGTCGCCCGGCTCGTCGTCGCTGGCCGCCTCCTCGGCCGGCACCGGCAGTAGCACTTTCTCCTCCTCCCCCTCCTACGCCACCGCGCGTACGTGCACGTCAAAAAGCAGCCCCTGGTCGCGGCGGCGGCGGTGGTGCTAATAGTGGTAGCGCTCCTCGTCGTCGACGTCGTCGTCGTCGCCGTCAACACCACCTCGCACATCAATGACGGAACCTCACACCGCGATTATCACATCGCACGAGGAGCGCGCGCGACTCGCTCGCGCTGCTCACCGCGGCGACACGCACGCACGCACCGTCGAGGAAACCGCACGCGCGTACGCACACAACACGCGCTGCTAACTCACTCTGCTCCCCCCTTCGCACTCTTCTTCTTCTCTTTTCGCTCCTCTTCCGCTACTGCCGCCAGCGCTTCTTACTCCTCTTTCTCTCTCACTCTCCCGCTTTCCCCTTTTCTCTCGTCACCCGCTCGTGTTTTCTTCCTACCCGCGCCTCTGCGTTACGTCGTCGCCGCGCTCGATCGACGGTCGGGAGGGAAAGGGGGGTGGCACGAAGGAAGACCGGGAGGAGAGAGAGGGGTGGCGGGGCCGCAGCAAAGTGGAAGCGGGGTGGGGGTGACGAAAAGGGAGAAGTAACGCGGGACCGGGAAACGCGGTGCTGCAATTTTCACGGCCGTTCTCTCCTCCGAGAGCCTGTCGCCTCTTCCCGTCTCCTCTCTGTTCTGGCGATCCGCTCGAGAGAGCGCGCACGGCGCCGCTCGGCTCTCCTGTCTCTCTCTCGATGACGTGCCGCGACACCAGCGACGCGTATACGTACCGACGGCGAATGCACGTACGTACGCACGCACCGCACGTACGCGGAGTTGACACGCGATTTGGCAGGCGGACGAGCGGATCGGGTTGTTCACGCGCGCACCACCACCCGATTCGACGTACGTAGGCGCGCGTGTACTCACTCACTCTTTTTCTTTCTCTTCCTGTTCGACACTACCCTCTCTTCTTTCTCTCTGCCGACGCACTACCGACGACCACGAACGCGCACTCTCTCGGCACCCGAGCGCGACCGCGTCGTGAGCCGGACGAGAGATCTCTTCGCGGTTTCACGCTCCGTTCACGGACAGGATATGTTTCTTTTCTCTTTCTTTCTCGAGGCGACGGTGGTGGTCGCCTCGTTGTCGCCGATCTTGTTCCCGCTCCTGCTGCCGACGACGATGGATGATCCCCGAGAGAAACGCGATGCCGCCAGCCAATGAGCGGAGGAGGGCGCGGGACGACGCTGCGGAGCGCTGCTGCTGGTGAACAGCGAGGGGTGCGAGCGATTGGCCGACGTTTTCGGAACGGCTAGTACGGTTACGGCGGCGGAGGTGCACGGCAAAGGCGCGCGCGTGAACTCTTTCTCTCTTTCTTTCTCGGCCTCCTCTATGTAACACCGCTTCCGTTGCGCGCGATTCCACGGCGAGGCGGCTCTTTCCTCCGTCCCGTTTTCTCGCGGCACTCTCGTTCACGTAGCTCGCGCTACTCTCTACCGCCCGCCGACGACGTATCTCACGCGCGCCACCGTGCGGTGGGCTGACGACGATGTCGCGTTGTTCGGTCTTCGTCCGCCCGCTTATACTCTCTCTCTGTCCCTCCTTCGCCGCTCTCGCGCGACTATCTTGGCAATGCTTCGTCGTTCTCTCTCTCTCCCTCTCTCTCGTACGCACGAGAACACCACCGCCTCACTTCACTCCGACTGACCGATTGTCTCTCTCTCTCTTTCTTCCTCGCTGGCTTGCTTCCCGTCTCGATCTCTCCTCGTCGCACTACGCTACGAGTCTCGTCACTCCGGCTGTTCCACTCTTCTGACTACTCGTCGCCGATACCTGGCAGGCTTCCGCACTGCATTTCGCTGTGTTACCGTCGCGCGCGACTCCACAATTACGAGGCGAAAGAACGATCGTACGTTTCTCCGTCTTTTTCTTTCTTTCACGTCGTCCTCGTGCCCGACAGCGCTCGCACTCGACGGGAGATCCTCGTCGTCGTGGTGGTAGTCGTGATCGTCGTCGCTGTCGCCGCCGTTCTCGTCGTCGCGGGGTCCTCGCGTTCACCGCCCGTAATCGGTCCGCCTCGTTCTCCTCTGTCTCTGTCTCTCTTTCGTTCTCCGGTCCGGTGCCCGACCAGAGGCGACACGCACTGCTCCCGCAGCAGCCACCCGATATATCGCGGCGTTACGCGGAAAAAGCACGGGGGAAAAAGGGGCGCGCGCGTTCACGCGGCAATATCGAACGATACACGGCGATCAGCGACGACTTCTCTGCCTCGTCGTGCACGGCAACACCACACCGACCATGGATTTTTCGATGCCTCCTCAGACATTGACCCGTTCGGGCGAGATCGGGCCAGTCGAGTGCGAACGGACATTGCCGAGCGTGACGTCAGTGACACCCCACCCTTCCCCTTGCCGAACCGAACGGCTCTATCGAGTGCGCCTGATGCTCCGTCGTCGATACCCCTGGTGCCGTCTGGTGCTTGCTCCCTTCACTATTCCGTTATACCGCCATTATTCAAACTTTAGATTGATTCAAGTCTTGGGTGCGAAAAGGTATCTGAAAGAGTCGCTGGGGCTTTCGTGGGTTATGAGAAAATCACGAAGACCCTTCAACGAAAAAACGATGTCAACTGTGATTCCGTGAAATGTTGTGAGAAGTATTGTTATGTACGAGCTATGAAATGACATGTATTTCGGGAAACGTTGCTGCGTTCCAGACAACATAAAGTCTAAAATCAGGACATCAGATGTCTGAAAGATATCTTTAAGATATTCTTAAGAAGCGGGCTTTCAGACGCCTTATGTTCCGATTATAAATTTTTAAAAACGTTGTCCGGGATATAATGAATTATATGAGAAAAATTAAATTTTACGCGTAACGTGGGACTTGGAATTATCACTCGCTGGCATTAATTGTTGTTATTTTTACTTCAAATCAGAATAATCGTCAGACTTTACAAAAGGACGCGATATAAAATTCATGATGCTACTAAGGATTAAATTTTGTCTTTATCTGGATTTAATCAAGACGAATTTAGACCAGGTATCTTCTACTGTATAATTTTGCAACAAGTTCTGTAAAGAACATCGAATCGACTTGTCTTTGGCAAAGATGTTGACAAAATTGTAAACTTTGAGACAAAATTTTAAGAACATGAGACTCATTTGAAATTAGCAAAACAATGTAATTCACTTACGGTTCCTTAAAATGCAGCTCATAGTCTCTTCATTCTTAACCACTTGTAGCTAGAGGATTATCGACAGCTCGATAATGTTTGCTACTGAAAACTAAGCCATTGGATCCGAAAAAAATCTGTCGTCGAAGTAACTGGAGAAGACAAGTTCCACATGGTATTCGCAAAGATGCTGAAAATACAGTAAAATATACAGTAAAAAATATACAGTAAATGTTGAGTTAAATTTAACACATTTTACATGTTCAAATGGTCCACTCAAATTTTTGCGTTAATTCTATAATGCGTCCAACAAAGAAATATTATGATTATTATTAATTTAACATAAATATGTTGAAAAGTAACACGAATATTATGTAAAAAATTAATACAAAATTAACACGTTAATTAACACTAAAGCATAAAATATTCAATTATTTTAACACCCATGTTGAATATCGACACAATATAAAATGTTTACATAACATAAACATAATATGTTAAATTACCACACGGTGGTATGGTATTTCACAAATTTAATACCAAAATTTCAACAGGAACCGATTTTAAGTACAAGTACAAAATGCTTCTTACTGTACGAGTCACCAGATGATCGGCGCATCGACGCTTCCGTTAACGGCGAATACCAGCCATTAATTGATCGAGGATCGTCGATCCTCGTTGGAAAATCACGCAGTGGAAACGAGATGCCGTGATGTGTGAGGGGAAGTGCCCAGCGAGGCGCCGGAATGTTGATATCGACGTGCGTGCCCTTGAGCGGTCACGAGTCAGTCTCACTCGCGTTCGCCGGCCGAATGGACGCGAAATACGCGGTGAGTTGCCACTCGTATTATCACACCGGTTCGTTACCGTCGTCTTCGTCTTTTCTCAACGGATCTTCGTGAATTCGCCTCCTCGTCGCACGTTCGAACTTTCTACCCTTTCGCACGTGAAACGATTATTCTCTGCGAAAGACGAATTCCCGCGGAGTCTCGGTGTTTCTGGTCGCCCGAATATTCTCCGATTGTTGTCGCGTTATCTCACGCGAGCTTCGGTGTTCCGAACGCCGGGTGAACGAGTGCGAAAACGACTGACGAGATCAATTCCCGGGATGAATTCGTCCGCTTCGACCGTGCCTCGCCGGCTCAGCTTTGAATCGTCCGGCACTCTCTGCACCTCGGGGGGTTATCGACGCGCCGGTAACTTTGAGATGAAAGAGACAGATGGCGAGGAGAGAGACAAAGTGCGGCCGATGCAATTACGAACGAATCTGACGTGCGTTAGTGCGCGATTGTTTACATTCAAGTATCGCAAATTGAAGCTTCCTCGCAAATCGACGTATACTTTCGCATCCTTACGACAATGCTCTCTCTTTCCGCCCGCGTTCTCCGATATTGTGATTACGAGTTTCCCGTGAGCGCCGAGAGATGGCGCCGCCAATTTGCCGCGAATCCGAATTCGAAATTATTGAGATACTGCGGCGTCAGTTAGTTGTACAACCGTCCCGATCGGCGGTTGTGTTTCGCGTCGTCGCATTTTTTAATCGTTGTGTGTGCGGTGAAGATGCTGCGTGGAAGGGCGAATTTTTGGATGTCCGGCATCCTGGAACTCAGGGGACGCGTCATCGACGATGCAACGCGTGTCCAAGAGCCATGTTCGCCTAGAAGAAGACGTCGTTTGTCGTAGGTACATGTACCGATCGCAAAGATGGCGAACGCTTGGTTGTTTTACTGTTTTACTGCTTTCTCAGTAGTTTTCTCAGAACTTTTCACGAAACAAAAAACATACCGGGACATAATCACACATCTTTAAGATATCTCTAAGATGTCTTAAAGACGTCTTATGTCCCAGTTTTAGGTTTTGTGTTGTCCAAATCCCGACAATCCTTTTATATTCGGTTCATATTTTTTTTATACACAGAATAAATTTTGTGGTAAAAATTGTCATAAAATTCAGTCAGAGAAAACATAAAATTTTGTTATGCCGGGCTATATTATACTGGAATTATAATTGAAATTATTGTGTTTTAATCTTTAGTGTATACATTGAGATACAATATACTTCAGTATGATCCAGCATTACAAAAGTTTGTGATAATTTTTACCATAATATTTTTTTCGTGTAGAATCACTTAAAAAAATATATTTTTTCGGAAGGTACATCTTTATCTTTGGACATATCGATTTTATTTGAACGAAAATATCTGAATGATCAAAAATTCATCTATATATACAGATGTATTTTTTACATCTATAATACATCTATAAATTTACAAATTTTCTCTATATTGTACGAAGCGTGAATTCTCGAAAAATGTTTTTGAACTCTGTCTAAATTATCAGAAAAAAGTCTAAGAGAGGCAAATATCAGCCGGTAACACCGTTTAATATTGAATAATATCGATTGGTCGTCTTTAACGTTTGTCGACATTTCGGTGAACTCCACGACAAGATGTGTTTATTATTTCTTGTCGTAATTCATCGTAAACGTCATCCTATAATATTTCAAACGACACTAATATTTTTCCATCACAATATATCGTGGTTGGGCCCAGAGAAAACGTTAGACCCATTCAAGGATCACATTTTTTTCCATTTTCTTTTTCAAAAGAGAGAGAGAGAGAGAGAGAAAGAGTTTGTGGTTGTGCAGAATTGACAATGCAATCTCTCGTGGTTGAAAGCATATAAAGAATATGAACTAGATATAATGTCATTTATGTAAACAATAACCCAGACAATATAACATCTAAGATTGGAATATAAGACATCTTTAAGATATCTATTACATCTTGCTTACAAACATCTTTAAGATGTTTTAAAGATTATGTTTTTTAAATGTTATGTTATCTGGAAAGTAATATAGGAACTGTTATAGAACAGTTTGTCTTCTTACATTTTGTAAGTGTTATTTTTATATTTTGTTTCTGTTAAAAATTCTCAGGTAAATCGGGATGATAATAATAACAATATTAAACACTGTATATTCATATTATAAGAGAGAGAGAGAACGAGGGGCGGGGGGGGGNGGGGGGGGGGGGGGAAGAAAAGGAGTTTTATTCATATGCCGAAAAAAATTTACATTATCGACGGTCGGAAAGTCGGGGGTAACATGGCTATTTCTATGTTACCTATTACGTATCAGTTAAAAAAATTTTTAATATTGCATATTTTCATAATTAACATCAAAATCGAATACGTGAACTATTTAACAGTTTAAACTAATTTAAACGAATAATGTTTCCTTTCTCTTTGCACTGCGCTGTATAATTTATATTTTACATAATTTATACTGTCCGCATGAAAAAGGTTTGTATCAAGATCACGTAGATAATACAATATCATCCATGTAGACATAATTTTATTAAAATCTGCGGCACAACGGTGGTCGGAATGTTACGCAACGTGCGGTAAGTTGCCGACGGCGAGCATTCGTCGATGTGCGGGGTGGTAAGGTAGAAATTATCCAGTATGTATTGCCGGATGCAGCCACCAGGAGTGCAGTGCGCTGTCGTCGACTTTGCCCTTCTCCTCCACTTGCGCCGGCTGTTCTCAGGCAGCCGGCAAAGCGCGCGCTACGGTTTAAGTTGCATTTTAGATGCGAACGAACGCGCATCGTTTTGGGCTCGTGGTTCGAATCGCGGTCACGCGGCGCGTCGTCTCGCGGTCAAGTCTCTCGAGGACGATCCGAGTGCGATCTGAGTGATTCTTTGCTGTCATCATCCTTATCGACGTCTCTTCGTCGCCGTCCTCGTCTTCGCCGATCGAGTGATCCTGCGGATCACTGTGCGCGACGCGGATCATCGGTGAGTCTAGAACTTTTGCTTCTTTCTTCCGTCATTTTTTTGCGGATAATTGCTCCGACCGTGGCTTAGCGCAATTTTCGAATTTAACGCGAGCCTCTTCGACGTGAGCTTTTCGGTTAGTTTTGCCCGTGTTTATCTTGCACTTTTCGCGGTTTGGGGTAACGATATATATATATATATATATATATATATATATATATATGAAAAAAAATATAAAGACCGACTGTTTCTTTCAACTGTGGGTTTATCGACAAAGTTGGAGTCGACCCTTTCTTATTTTTTATTATGATCGCGATTTCTCCCCCTTCCCCCTTTTGTCAATTTCTATCGTCATATTTGCCGGTTGTTCTCTTGGAAGTTTTCAATTGATAACCTATTATAAAATTACAAAATATATATACGGAATGATATTGGAAACTCGACACGGTGTCACTTGTTTTATATAATTTCCATTATATTTATTTATTTGTATATATATTATACAATAACATCACAAATGGGGTATATGCGATATTTAAAATTGAAGGCAGAAATTTATTTCAGATCAAGGTTACTTTTCAAAAGATATTTTGATTGAAAAATTGACCGGGGTATAAAATTTCCGCTCCGTTGACCGTCGGCAGGAATAATGCTCCGTACACGTTGAGCAGCTTTGTTTACGAGAAGCTTTTCGTATCCGATCGTTCGAAAATTACCAATCCGTCTGTCGTTTTCATGAAGGGAAAGGTCGACCCAACAAAGAGCCTGTGATCGCAGGGAATCGCGGTTGATCCGGGGATACCTTTACCTTTCGCGCTTTGAATTTGAAGGGTCAAAGAATGCAGCAGCGGGAGTAAAAGAAGTGTTATTCGAGTGGTGAACACGAGCCTTTCTTCAGGTATCCGACTCTTCAATCGCTGCGTACGGCAACGCCGTTCGTTCCGCGATCGTTATTTCCCGATCGAATTTTGCGCCACGCCACCACCCTCGTCACACATTTGTTTACGAATTTGAATTACGCCGGCTGTTTATGCGGATATGTGAGAATATCAATATTCGCGAGCGGAATACGTACGATATAACGCCGCCGTCTGTCAGTCGGCGATTAAACACGCGCCCGGCGTCGATCAAAAGCGAGAGGGACCCTTTATTTCCGGGATTTTATCCGGCGAAATACTCGGCTGTTGCATCTCGCGTTAGGAATTAATCGCGGCGCGCACGAGTGGGTGGGAGTTCAGCGGGCAGCCTTAAATTTTTACGCGAAAAACGTACACGCCCACGGCGCGAACAATGTTGTACAACATTTATCAGAGCGGATAAATATTTCGGACGAAGGCGGGCGCCGTTAAAAATATCGTCGAAGGTAAACTCCCTCGAGTTGTGGATTGGGGCGTTAAAAATGCACGGGTTATCAAGCGACGACTGCGGCGGCGTTATATCTTTGTCAGAGCTCGTCAGCGTGAATTAGCCTCATCCTTTCGGTGCCCGCAAGCCGGTCAAGTTTTAGCGAGGAAACCGTCTCTCTTTCTCTCTATCTATCTTTCTCTTTCCTTCGTACGACCTTCCTCCGACATTCTTAGCGATGAGAGAGAGAGAAAGAGAGGGAGTGAGGGAGAAGGTGAGGAGACTTTGACCTGAAACGAGAGAACAACGTGGAAAAATGCCCCGATATGAAGATCCTCTCTCGAAGTCATTGCGCGTTCGAAAGTCCTCGCTCTCTCGAAGTCGATATCTTTATTTCGGATTTTATTCCGCGAGATATTCACGATTCCCGCGTTGGAAAATGATTACGACGTGCGAGAGTTCCAAATTTCACGTAAGGAAACGCCGCTCTTATCGCGACGTGCGGCATCGTGTAGCCCGAATATTGGTATTGTCAAGTATAAACTTTGTCGCAGATGCGATGTGTAATAAATATATAAATATTTGATTGAATAAACATTTTGCATATTTGTCTGCCGGGAAAAATGTATCGGTGCGACAGCGTGGGGTTCATGATTTATTGATAGGGCGGGGAACTTGCTCAATTCAGTCGCCGAAAACTTCACTCGGAAAAAAGGCGGTCGCCCTCTTATGAATATTAAATATGGGACATAGTCGGGAAGTAGGCCGCGTTCTTTTCTTGATAATAAAAGTATTATTAAGTTATAAATATTAATTATTTTCGCTCCAAGGTACGAGTAATATCATTTGTCGTAACTGAAAGGGCGAAGAAAATCGCTATGCGACTGCCTCTCGCGATTCTTCTTCCCGCATTAATACCGGCTCACCTTTCAGTACGTACTTTTAACGCAACGCGGCGCACGTAGAGGCTCCGCGCGGGCTCTCGCAGATTTATTCGTGAACAATAATTGCGATGATATAATGGTGACTAAAACAAAAGAAATTTCTCTATTTTCTCTCTCTCTCTCTCTCTTTCTCTCTCGGTCATCGGGCAGTGCAGGTCGACCGTTAATCCGCGGATCTATCGTTTTCTCGTTATGCGTCTTCGACAGCATGAGATTATCAAATCGTCTACGTGACCCCATTACGGGATCCTTCTAAACTAAATTCGAGCGCCTGACGTAAATGCGTAATGATGTCGATCGATTTTCCGCGTTGGCCTCGCGTAATGGATACTAATACACGTACACGGCGGCGGTGTACGACGAGAGCGCGGGAACTGGAAATACTCGGGCGAAAATATTTTCGCAATAATAAATATCCGTGGACCGATCGTCTCCCTGGCACGGCGACGGGACTCGATCTCGGGTCGTGAAAGATCGACTTTTCGCGACGGCTTCTGCGCGCGTAATGAATGCTGATACGTCGGTGACAGCGTGAGGAATAAGAGATCGGGACGTTTCTCAAATGTTCTTTCACGAAAGAGAGAAAGAGAGCAAATATCCCGGAGATATTCCTCGCGAGCGCTATGCGCATCGGACTCCCCTTCGCGTCGTTCCGTATTCCCCGGGAAAATTATTTGCTACCGACGTGAAATATCCGCGACGGCTTTCGTCAAATAGGCAAAAACCGGCGCGATAAGATCGACGGTCGATTTATCGTTTGGTAAAGCATGTCGCGTTATATATCGCGTTATTTAGGTATCCGACTCGGTGAAGTTACGCTCGGTTTTCGAAATATGTACCGGCCGGTGCGGAAAAATAGCGCCGGGCCAGCGAGCAATCGGCGAAATCGATTCTCTCGCGGCAGAATAACAGCAGGAAATACCGGCCGCCACTCTTTCAGCGGGAATCAAAATTTTAACGGGACTGCTCGAAACAATCAGGGAAACGACCGCCGCGAGTGTCCTCTCGTGTATACGTATCACTTAGCAGGTACATTTAAAGTCTTTTACGCTCGTTTCTGTAACTAGTGGCGTGTAGAAAAACGCAAGCGGTAAGGAAATTGACCAACCAATCAATATATTTCTTTATATTCACGTATTCCAAAAGACGATAGAAGACACTGCTTACAGGCTTGCCGCAGGAAATGAATTTTGAAAATCCCCGGCTTTTCCGTATTTTCCAGACGAATGGAGAATTTTCCATGAGCGACGTATAATATTAAATTTTCACATTTAGGAGCAGGAAAGATAGCTTATATTATTAGAAGAGCAACACAACTTCGGTAACATAAAAGTTTGGTAACTGGTGAATTTTTGCAAATTCAGGTCAACAAAAGATAAATAAGTATTGGGAAAAGAATACGACTGAGAACATTTAAGGGAATTGCGAGCAAAGTGCAAGATTTCAGGATATCTTTCTCTGATTTTCCTAGGTTTCCCCGGTTCTCCAGGTCTGTGGCAGCCCTGTGTGCGCTTAAGTCTTATTGCTTACATTTTTCTATGTGTCACTAGCTTATTTGTGAACGACGTATTTATACACTGCTCGAGATTAGATTGTTCATTCAAGGAGTGGCCGGTAAATATTTAGAGGATCTCGAATACTTCTTTCACCATTTGCTCCCATCTTGCTGGGGACATATTTATACTTCACCTCGCTTCCCTCTCACTCTTATACATACATGATTTCCCAGCTGTGTGGAACTCCTCAACAAGCGGTTGAATTATATCTCGAAACACGTTGTATATTTTAGCTGTCTATTCTTACACTTTCGGTGCTTCCAACCGTGAACTACTGCTGCTGTTGCTGTTATCACTGTTGCTGCCGCCGCCGTCGCTTAGCAAAACTATTATCGCACGCAGTTCCGCGTAATTATTTCGAGCGGTGTGCATGAATCAACAATGAGCTATGACCGCGCGATTTCTATGTGCCCGGCTATTTAACAACATCGGGCATTAGCTGTCGCATTCATAAAGTCATTTGCATTTCGCGTCCGTCGAGTCGGTTGATTTAAATGCTCTTTGACTAACGTATCAAAGCCGCATGGCGACCGTGCCGAGAGTGTATATCGCGCTTAGGCACAGTAATCCGTTTCAGAATGGTCGTTGGCGCTAATCCCGCCTGAATTCCCACTCAATTTCTGATCGGTCGCGCAAAAGCGCAGCTCGCGTCCGCTTCCGTTGCCGCGCGCGCGCGCGAACGCGCAAATTAAACGACTGTGATTCTGCCGGGGCTGCCGTATATATTAGTTAATAGCGTCACGTCGGGGAAGCGCGCGTTGCCTGGGATGTATCGGGGTAAATCCGTATAGCGTTTATGGACCGACTCGACTCGACTGGCAATAATGGAGCCGTTGGAGATGGGTGATATCCGATCGATTAACCCGTTAAAAGCCGGTAATTATAATATAAAGAATCGTATTGTTGTACTTCGTTGAGCTGCGTCGGGTTACATCGCGATGTAGAATCGACAATGGGATGTATGCGTGCGCGCGCACGTGCGTATGACTGGGCGTGTGTGTGTGTGTGTGTGTGCCATGCGAGTGTGCAACGGGCAATAACGGAAAGAAACGGATGGTGGAAATTAATAGGCAATTTATTGTTCAAGGAAGATCGAGCTGTTATCTGGGAATAACTACCGCCCTCGCGAGAACGCGACATACTTCTCTTTTTTTTTTTCTTCCTCCGCTCGTTCGCT